CACCTGCCACTGGCAGCTTCAGAAACTCATGAGATTTCACAAACTCACGTTGAACAAGCTTTTCCAGAGCAAAAAATTTAGCTATGTGAATTAGCTGTATGGCTCTGTGAAGCGGTGAGTGTGGACTTCGACCAGCAACTATAGCTCGTGCTTCCGACAGCGAAGACTGAGAGATAGTCGTGTCAGGGATCTGAAAGTATGGAAGCTTTAATCCATTTCATCGAATTACGTTGATTCGCGATAGATGAGTATAGATTACCATCACGCACGGGTGTGAAGCGTTTTTACTGGAGCCATTTCCAGTGGGTAAATGGGCCGCACGTCACGCGCAGCACATTCGTACAACCCAAACGCAGAAGGCCGCAGCAACACGCCGCGCCCTCCCCTCCTACCAACCGATACATACCCAAGGGTGTCACGGTATACATGACACAAGAAGTAACAAAAGAACTAGTTAAGCCATTCCCAAAAAAAATAGTCAACGAACCATTGAAAAATCCAACTCATCCGTGTAGAGGAAATGCATGACCACTGGAGCGAAACCACGAGGGAGTAATGTTTCATCGAGAACAATACGGCCGTGCTCACCAACGCGGTTAAGAAGCCCACGAAAGACTGTACTTCTTGATGACACAATTGATGAGTCGCACCGGATGCTATAGTCTGGGGGATGCGCTAAAATTGACATGATTCAGTATGAATTTCAAGTAGTTAACAGAAGCTGGGCTTTAACTAAGGCGAGAACCAATTAAATAGATAACCATACATAGTGATTCGACACTGTAGGACGGTCAATCATTGTCCAAAAACGGTGTATTTTTGGACGCTTATCAAAATCCTATGAATTCCAGGAGATTTTCACAAATACAGTGAACAAATCAATATAACCTTTAGGCGGCTCGTCGCCAACTGAAGCTGCAGAAGTGAGGACAATATTCAAGTCCCCATTTTCGAGACCCATTTTCTCGGCATTCCGCAAACTCGTCAACAAATCTTGGTTGCAACCGAGACAACTGCGTAAAGACTCCAACATTTCTGCACTGCCAGACCATACGTCAGTGTAGAGATAAGTGATAAACATGCTGGAATTTGGAATGTGAGACACATTGGAAAAGTTAATAGAATGAAAAGAAAGGCACATGAAAGTTCACGAATCACTAACCCGATCTCCTTAGATGTGAAAGCTTTTCCATCAGGAATGGCAAGATCTATTTCCATGACTTCTTTGCCTTCGAGAAAGTCTGCTATAACGCTACAGCGAGCAACAGCCAAGCGGCGATGAAGGAGATAAGAGTTACCCTACAATTATGCTGTATCCGAATTGAAAAATGTTGATTACTCGAAAGACACCTACGCCAATTCTGAGAACGAAGTCCTTATTTTTGCTTGAATGAAGTTCTTCACCAATGTTTGGCACTGGCGGCCTTGCGGAATTAGCTGCATTATGTAAAAGCGAGAGTATTCGCGATGTTTCCAATTCCTAGAACGAATATTTACCTACACGAAGATATGTAAAACATATATTAAAATCAAAACTGCAGTTGTCCAACACAAGAGCGCCTCACAACCGGGGTCAACCGTCACGTTCGCAATTTCCGAAGATATGCGACCCTCCCTTTGAGAATCTCGATGCGGCTCCCTTTGAGAGTCTGAATGCGACCCCTTTACCACAACCATCAGTCTCAGGAGACCCCTCCAATACGACTCCCTTCCCCCACTCGACCGCCACCTTCGAAATTGGTATAATGAAGCGGCTAATCCGCCAATTCAGTTTATTGCACGCTACTTACATGCAACTTTCGCAAAAATCGCCAGAACCCTCGCCAAAACATCCCCTTTCCCACGACCAGAACCCCTTGAAATTCTGAAAAATACGACCTCAGTTCGACCCGCTCGTTCCCGTTAGTTGGCCTTACTCAACTTCAAATGTGGCCCCCACCCCATTTATCGAAATCATAAATGCCACCCTCGTCTGAATGGTGCAGGACGGTTCTCCTACCCACATCTCCTCTCCTACTCTACCATACAGACACCATACAGAAATGACCCGCATGAATGTGGTCAACTGACTGTGAGCTAATTATTCCTCTAATAAAAGGACCAAAAAATCACCAACCCTGTACAAAGCTTCCACATCGTGAATCGGCCATGTGGATATCAGATCTCGGAACGACTTCACTTTATCTCGATTGCCTCCTTTGCGCTAAACGAGAAGAATTGTATGTTGTGAATAAAAAGATGGAGAAGGCATTGAGCAAACATACGAATATGTATGGTAAGATTGTGACCAAGATGGTGGTGTGGCCTGGCCTGGATGGCAGCATTTTTTTGGCGGTGAGGTATTTCGATTTTTTTTGAAAAAAAAAGTGAAGAAGATTTGAAATGAGGCTAAAGGTAATCTATTTTCGAATCTTCAGCTTTTCTATAGAATTTCCCTTCTGACATAATAATATGTATACCAATCACAGTTGTCTGTGTTCAAACGCCTCTCATATACTCGGGGTAGCGTCAGACAGACCGTCAGTTTCTTCCTATTCCCATACGATAACACAAGAATATTTACTAACTTTGGTAGATTCCCACACCACTGAGCCCTGGCAACACTACTATGTAGATGCCTTGCGACGTATCACGTTTACCTATCATGAATGGCGCTGTCAGTTGACGAAAACAAACATATGCGACACCTTCTTCTTTTGAAACACAATCGAGGCACAAATGCAGCCTATTTGGCTAGAAATATATGGGTGAGAGACTGCTAAAGAATTGTTTTCCACGGGAATAGAAGGCTCAAAAACAGCAACTTCAATCTCAGTGACGAGATTCACATTGGATGGCCAGCTGGAATTTCAAAAGAGAGAGAAACTTCGGCCCTTTTTTGTTGAATACTTGAGTAACTCCTTTACAAACAAGGAGTTAGGTTGGGTGCAGCCAAGAAACAATTGCACTGTACTCGAAATGAACAGTGTGAAGTAAAGCGCCTACTTCCAGTAACGACAGCACTCGATCGCTCCCTGCTCCGCCGAAATGGTCATTTCAAAACTTCCCCATCTTTCTTATTACCCTAAAGAACACCCTCAGACTTTCAGCTGTTTCCGTTACTGGTACCAAGCGCTTCGTGGTGATTCGTTTAACAACAACAATAGAAATGCGTGATTAGATGAATTCGTGTTTTACTTCCACGGATGCAAATTTCTTCCGACAAAGTGTGAAGAAACGATTAGGCAGGAAACCAATGAGAGAAAATAGAGAAAAGCTAAATATTAGCGTAAGTATGTTCTGTTGCAAGAATACACATTCTAAGAGGAAGGGATTCGTACTATGTAGGATATCAGCTTCACCCTACCTAGTATGTAACTCAAAAAATTAAGCTGTCATCTAAAAGCATCCACTTCACGGCTCAATATCCTCCCGCTTTGTAAGAAAAAAGGTCAAGAGTTCAAAGACTCGAAACTAAGTTCAAACAGAAAAAAATCGAAATAATCTAATGTAAATACAAATATGATAAAACACCTTGAAAGGCAACTTCGATAAGTGCTTCGATGAAGACTGCGCTAACGAAGCTAATCGGCTCCTCGTTTTGGGCGTACGCTGCTCGGCTGTCGGCTTGAGCCTATCCAAATCAGCCGACGAGCGACTCTTCACTCGAAGAGAGGACGAACCTCCGCCCATCAAATTCAACGCTCCAGCTGAATTTAGCAAAGTCTACACAATCGCATCACTACCGCACAAAACGACGACGATACGCACTCATACTCTACGAAAAAAAGTAGGAGAAATTTCCACATGAGCATGACTGAAGGATGAGAAGTTTGAAAACAATACATGAATGGTGACGCTTAGTCATTAGATAGAAGGTACAAGGGGTCGTTTCAATATTTTCATGTAATATGCAAGAATTTAAAAGCGTCCAGTGATCTGCTAAAGCGAAATAGTTTCAACACATATGAACTTGAACTACAGCACAAAAGGACAAACTCCGGAAGAGCTAGGTAATTCGAATCACAATAAGCAACCAACAAAAAAACGTGTATAGAACTCGACTAAACTCAATCTTTGGAAAATGGGAAAAAGCATAGCCTGTAAATGAAACAGAGCTTCAGAGCTGTATATTGGACTTCTTCTAGGTGTTAGATAGATAAGAGGGATTGTGCAAGGACCTATTCATCCCTCCATCCCCTCCTCTCCTCCCTCGCACGATCACAAAGTATGACATTACATTATCAATATTTCATCACCTCTTCAACCTTTCGGTTCTAAGCTAAACCACAAGTTCTGTAAGAACCTGAATCCGCAGAAGATATTTGTCCACTATCTTCACTTCCCACACCACAGTTGGGCTCGGTCCCGAATGAAGAATGGAACTACTAACTCCTTTAACACAAATCTGGGCGCAATGTGCCTC